GTAAGAATCACTGCTTTGCAAAATGGTCATAACACTATTATTGAGCTACAGTTTTCTATTTTGGTTGTAGTATAACAATATTACCCTTGGTCTATGTGTTTGTTTTTTTCTCGGTATATCACTTAAAGTTGAAGCTGTAGACTGTAGTTTTCATGAAATGAATGTTTTGGATGATTATATATTTTTACATTGATAATACTCTTCCCTTTAGGAAGGAGATTGGGACCCACTATGCCCTTCATCTAGGGGGTACAAATTTCAGGGTCTTGAGTATTCAATTGGAAGGTAATAGATCGTCAATTCTTGAGCATGATGTGGAGCGGCTTCCAATTCCCCAGCATTTAATGACAAGCACAGGCAATGTAACTATCTTTTTCCTTGATATTGTACTAATGTCTAGTTTGTTTAAGTTTCTATTGTGTCCACATAATATCACTAAAACCAAATTTTACTTGTTTTTTTTTTTTTTTTTTTTTTTTTTTTTTTTTTTTTTTTTTTTTTTTTTTTTTTNTTTTTTTTTTTTTTTTTTTTTTTTTTTTTTTTTTTTTTTTTTTTTTGCAGGATCTCTTTGATTTTATTGCTTCATCATTGAAGGAATTTATTGATAAAGGAAATAATTCTGAGGTTCTTCGAGGTGGGAGAAGGGACCTTGGTTTTACGTTCTCTTTTCCCACAAAACAAACTTCCATTTCATCTGGCGTGTTAATTAAGTGGACGAAAGGATTTTCCATTGAAGACATGGTTAGTTGGATGGTGTCTTTGTAGATTTAGGCTTTGGAAATAGTGAGGGAGTGAAAATTCATTCTTGTATAAATTCTCCCGTGCTGTTGCCAAAGTAGGCAGGGTGGGGTATTAGTTCTATTGTTTGTGCCATTCATGACTAAGCATGCTTTGCATTTTCTCTAAGGATTCTTACATCAATCCACTGAATCTGGTGCTTGTTTTGAGTATTGACTTTATATTAAATTCTCAATCAAATTATACGTTCCTAGAAAACATGTTTAATTCTGCAAGGTGCTAAGCTTCTTTATTGGTCAGGTTGGGAGAGATGTTACGGAGTGCTTGCAACAAGCATTGAACAGAAAGGGTCTCAACATAAGAGTCACAGCACTTGTAAGTTTTCATTTCCTCTCATTGTGATCAAAGAAATTGTTGTTGGAAAGGTGATTTATGGAACAATAATTGTTTTCAGCTTTTAGTTCCTGAGATAGTTATAGCTTGGTCCTCATGGCTTAAGTTTCTAGTTTTTCATTTATACCAAAGCCTCTTATCAAAAAAAATTTATACCAAAGCCTGTACTATCTTTTTTTCTCTATCCCATGCACCATATCTAATAGGAACACAGAGAATACAATATGCAATTAATAGAAAAAAGTTAGAGGAGCTTTACAAATTTGTTGGTAGGAGACTGGGAATTGTTATAATAGTTTATATTCTGGAGTCAATAGATGATCTCTTTTCTTAAAGACATGCATGCCAAACTGAAAGGCTTGGTAAGCCATAGACTAGTCATTTATGTGACTACTTTTCATACTTGGATTGGAAGTTGGTGCTAAATGTTGCATTACTCGGAGGTCATGAGTCCATATATATCTTTCAAGCAGATAAATGACACTGTGGGGACATTAGCTCTTGGACATTATCAGGATGCTGACACTGTTGCTGCAGTGATAATTGGAACTGGTACCAATGCCTGTTATTTGGAGCGTACAGATGCTATTATCAAGTGTCAAGGACTTCATACAACCTCTGGGTTCATGGTAGGAGCCAGTCTGTCTTTAAATCTTCTTTTAAATTTTTTGTGGATACTATTTTAAAGTAAATGTGATTGTCTGAAGTTCTGATTTTCTTGGTCAGGCTATTAACATGGAGTGGGGAAATTTTTGGTCCTCTCATTTACCTAGAACTTCCTATGATATTGATTTGGATTTTGACAGCCCCAATCCAAATGATCAGGTACTACTTAGTTTTCCTTTTTTCTAGCACTAATTTGTCATATGGAAACTAATTTGTACTTTTGTGTGAGTCTTGAGCAGGGTTTTGAAAAGATGATATCGGGAATGTACCTGGGTGACATTGTGAGAAGAGTGATTCTTCAAATGTCGAGAGAATCCGATATTTTTGGGTCAGGTTCATCCAGGTTATCCATGGCATTTGTGTTGACGTATGTTCTTTTCTCTCGTGCCTATTGAAAATGAATTTGACTTTGGCCATTCTTTGTGGAAAGTAATAGATGGGTAATTTTAAATTGCATGTGAATCATATCATGTAATGCACAATTATGGTTGCAAGCACTGTTCTTAACAACTAGGGTTGCATGTGAATCGTATCTCATTTACCTACAACAACTATGAATTTGACAGTGTTCTGAACTTTTGTTTCTGATTTAATTTGGAACTAGTAAGTGATTGCTTTTATGTGTTCAGAACACCTCTAATGGCTGAGATGCACGAAGACGAGTCTCCTGACTTAAGAGAAGTAGCAAGGATCTTGAGGGACACCTTGGGGGTAGAGGATCTTTAAAATTATGCTATTAATATCCGTTATCATTCCTTTTTTTCCCCCCCTTCAATTTGACACTAAATTCAGACAAGTAACACTTCCTCTCTCTGTGTATCCGCTTTTCCAGATTCTTGAAGTCCCTTTAAAAGCTCGAAAACTTGTAGTAAGAATATGCAACACAGTGACGCGCCGAGCTGCCCGGTTGGTAGCTGCTGGCATTCTGGGTATCCTAAAGAAGATGGGGCGGGATGGAACAGGAGGAATTGCAGGAGTAAGAAGTAGAAGTGCTGTGAATATGAAAAGAACGGTGGTGGCGGTCGAGGGGGGATTATATACTAATTACACAATGTTCAGAGAGTTCTTGCTTGAAGCTTTGACTGAGATTCTGGGAGAAGATAATGCCAAACATGTAATTCTCAGGGTAACTGAAGATGGATCCGGCATTGGAGCAGCTCTTCTTGCTGCATCACATTCATCCAATTGATTTGCCATATATATGAATATATATAGTTGATATATATATATATTATATATACATATAGAGATCCTGTAAAGTTAGAGAAATTCATTTCTTCAGAATGTGATGTCTCTCTGTATTAAAGAAAAAAAAAAAAGAGAGGAAAAGAAATGGCTTTGTATTATTTGATACTGGAATTGTCAATATCTTGTTCTGCAATTATTTGTAAGCTAATTGTCAACTCCCAAGGCTGGCTTTTGTAATTGAATGAGTTGGTATACTGGATTTCACCATTTATGATGCGCAGGGCTTTGACCATTTTATTTTTTTTGGTTCTTTCTACTATTTGTGCATCAGCAGAGCCCTACGTTGGGTGAGATGGGAATGTTTTTTCATGGTTGTCAAAGACGTGGGTCTGGCCATTGTCCAATCTGCAGCCTTCAATATTTGGACCTTGTCAAATCCCATTACCAAAATAATGAAAAATGTTCCATGGCATGTTCCTTTTTCATTGCTTATTCTTTTAAACTTGAGGAGGCTGCTATAGGTGATAGTTACGGTGCATCAGGGGCATTTGCCAGATACCCTTTAACCAAGGTTTGGTGTTTGTTCCTACATGGAATCTAGTGCGTCCAATGGACGCTTTTCATTCCAATTTTTTTTTTCCGTCCATTCCGCCTAAAATTCTAGGAATTTGTTGATAGAAACGGCTCATCTCGCCGTGACCTTCTCTTGAATTCTGTTGAATTCTCAAAACTTCTGTCGCTCCATCCCCAGAATTTTCCAAAAAAATGGATCCATTTAAAAAATGATCCGCTATTGAAAATACGTCTAATGTGTCGGAAAGGAAATGGCCGGAGTCGGCTACATGACGTCTGAGGCTTCGTCTTGACCTTCGGGTTACTCTACATCATTGCTGACTTCGCAAAACTTTTCGCAAGATGTTGATAGAATGAATAGGATGTTCTAACATGTCTTCGTTCTTTCTCAAATCGATTGTTTTTGGGGTGGGTCATGCTTTTGTTCTTGGTCGGAATCTCATTTTTTGGAGAGCTAAGAAGCCATTGAGCGATAACCCTTCCACTTGGCATTGTTGGATCACTAAAGCCGACTTTCGTCTCTGCTCAATAGGTGAGTCTTGCAGTACACTCAAGAATGCAAAATCACTTACATATACTAATCTAGAACATCCAAGTTATCTTTCTAGTTCTTGCACATCTCACCCTAAATAGACTCGGGAAAGGGCACTAAAAAAATGATCACGAGATTCAGTTGCTACACTACAAAAAAAAAAACATAATTTGTCGGAATAGAATGATTCAAGTAATGAAGATGATTTCCCACTAGGAATCTATCCCAAACAACAAACCAAGCTATAAAGAAGTGCCCTAGCTGTTGAGCACTAGGAGGAAAATTTATAAGTCGTACACATGCCTCCTACACACACACAAGATATACCGTCTCACCACACCACAAGCTGCCCTAGAGAACCAAAACCAATAAGAATATGCAATAGAAGCTTCATTACAACCGCAACACTCCAAGTGGAGACAAGCAGAAACCTAAGCTCCCTCACAAGGCAAGCAAACCTTCAACCACGCAACCTAAGCTCTCCTGCTCCCCCCTTCCACACAAGGACTGAATCATGCAGTACAACAACTCATGAACAAGGCAAGAGAAGGCCGACAAACACACTGGGGTCCAAATACAGAAGAGCCATCTTCTCACTTTGAGCATTAACCTGGTTCAAAAGAGTGCCTACAATCCTAAATAAAATATTAAATCTTAGCTATGAGAATTAATTAGTATTAAATAGTCAATTTAAATACTTCTTGATATGTAAAAAAATTTCAACAATCTTCTGCATTAATCACAACTTAATTCCATGCCAAGATTTATTTTCACTAAAATGAGTGAATTCTCAAAAGATCCCTTCAATAATGTTCCCTATCATCTCTGAATACATGGGAATTTTTAGCATCATTTCCATTTCAACAACTATAGAAAGGACCCGAACAAGAATTTGAATTGTAGGCTGATAGAACTCTGAAATGAGAACACTAATAGGCTCATGACTTGAAATTTCCACTTATAACAGGAGACACCATACAATATCTATTACATCCAGGGAGTAAAACAAATGAAGAGCACACTGAACCAAAGACAAAAAAAAAAAAAAAAAAAAAAC